AAAAATAATGATTTAGCTAAGTTTGAGACGTTTCGGTCCATTAAATTGCACATAAGTCATAATTCAGCATTACAATTGGACCTTGTCAGTACAGCGGTTGTTGCGTAAATTAATCTTACCACCAACTTAGTTCATCATTATTAATTTAGGGAATGTCACAGCAGATATTAAGGCGCTTGGCGATCGGCCATGTTACGTTATTAACAAAAGTTTCGCACTTATAACCATGGATTTATCGTAATTTTGATTACAGTAGGTATATGTTTCAAGATGTGAAAAAAAAAATCCACGTTAATTTTGGCAGCAGGAACACTTCGTGTTAATTTTAGGTTCGTCCGGATGAGCATATTTGGTTACCATCATCGGGCCCGGGTACTGTTGCAAGCAGTTCACGCGATACCGAATGCTATGTTGGTTAGTAAATCACTTGAATTACTTCTGTTATTATTGTTGATAAATAAGAGAAATTTTACCATTTGCTTCTCAGAAAGCATTTTCGCCTCACTAGCTTCAAAAAGCTACCTTTTGTAATTTTGCGTTTTTGATGAATGCAAGAAGCAAATTAGCGAAAATTAATTTGTCGGATTTCGTTAATCACTTTTAACTCAGCAACTGGAAAAGAAGCTGATATATGAAGAGAGTGTTTCCGATCCACGTAACGGATTCACAAACGTAAAATCAACTCTCGTGTGTATCTGCATTTCACGTACGGGCGCTATCGCGGAGCAACCTTCTTTTTAAAAACAGTTATGGACCGGGAGGAATCGTAACACTTGTCTTCACATCCGGACGCGACATGCTAACCTCCATACCACTAGCGCAGCAAATTCTTTCAACAGTTGTCGGCTGTTTGAGAACTTCCGCGGTAGGCGCCGTGTTAGATGATCAAAAGCATATTTTGACCCCCCTATGCTGAAAAGCTATTTTTTTCCAAATACTGTAAAAAATATGCTGATATCTCAAAAGACCAAAAAGGTCTTTTTTTTTAATTTTAGTTTTTTGATGAGACATATTTCTGTCTCATTCGCTTCAAAAAGTCTTCGCTCATCTTATCTTCAAATTTGTAATAACTATTTTGTAATAGGTTTTATAATAATCTTTATTTTAGTCTCAATATTTGATATTTGTTACTTAAATTTCAGGCGAGCGCGATTGCCGGAAAGTTGGTGATAAACAAAGCTGTGCCGCGTGCCACATCGTCGCTCATAGTGCATGCTTACCGCTTCTATATCAGGTGAGTCACTTATCAGGAATTTTTAAATTTTTCTCTTTTTTTAAAACGACTGGAATTATGACCCGATTTTTTCGGCCCATTCCTAATTTCTTTTCTCGGGCACTATTAGGATAAATGCCTTGTAAATAAATTTGCAAATGATAAGTGTCAAAGTCAAAAGTCAAAACTCGCTCCGTTTCGTTTTGTCTGAATTAGGGGTGACACTGATTGTCCACTGGCAGAGACGACCAAAACAGCAGCCCCAGTTTCACTACGCCATGTTCACTAGCGGCTAACAAGTATTAAATTTTCAATTGCCCACCTACAAAATGGATGCATTTTCAGCTCCATATGACATGCAAGACGACATACTGGGAAGAGAGTCCGGTAAAGAAGCAGACTGAAGCTGGCTCAGATGGACCTTTAACCAGACATCACTGGGTACATAAGTGGAAACACGAAGGACGATGCTTACGTTGCGGTAAATCGTTCCAACAAAAAATCTTCCGTGAAAAGGTCATTGCCTTTTCATTATTTTTGTACATTAAAAAATCATTATCACACTATCACTTTTTTCACGTA